GATATATGCCTATACGTAAAGAAGAACTATAGGCAAAACATTGTTTTCATTTTGGACAAAGTAAGGAGGGTTATAACCCTGTCAGTTTATTTTTTGCCATCTGTGTCCCATTGGGGAGAATACCTTCACTTTCTGTCCCATATTCAAAACAAACTTATAGGGAGGAGCCAGGGTGTGACGCCACACCTCTCGGGCCACGTGTCAGGCCGGCGGCCATCTTTACTGCTGTATCACACTGTGAGTGCTTTTTGTCCTATTGAATCTGCTTTTGCTTGGCAATCCTTTTTTCAATAAAATACTACACAATTAGAAATTTCTGTTTGGGCTCGTTTTATTGCGAGCCCCCCCCCCCCTTTGTATACCCAGAGGACCAGGAGTGGTTTAAGTACTCAAATGCGCATATGATTGCGCTATCTGGTTAGTGCAATCTACACCTATTTACACATCACTGGAGTCACGTTTTGCACTTGTGTATGGAGTTTGGGACTTATGTGCTTATTTGTAACACTTTATTATTGAACTTCCCCACCTGCACAATAGAATGTCCACAGACCTTCACTGTACTTGAATTTAACTTCACAGCGCAAATATATCTGCTTATATCATATGTGTCGTTCGATTTTTAGCGTGCATATATATATTGATAGACATTTGCCTAACTGATCTATAAGTGATGGCAGATATGCCTATACGTAAAGTAGAACTATAGGCAAAACATTGTTTTCATTTTGGACAAAGTAAGGGAGGGTCAGTTTATTTTTTGCCATCTGTGTCCCATTGGGGAGATTGCCTTCACTTTCTGTCCCATAGTCAAATCAGGAAGTGAGAGAAAATTAAGGCAATCTCTTAGGGATCCCCAGGTCACCAGAGGTAGTATCCCTACTGAAAGATTTCCCCTCTATTACTTTTCTGGGGACAACCCAAAATTTGGGATTTTCTTTTACTTTTAATTAAAATGGTAAACAGGACAAATAGAGAGGGTTAATCTCCTTAATGGGGGCACAGACTATAATAAAAACTGCCCTCAGTCTATCCATTATTTGCATGTGCCTCTACTATGGAGGCTCTCAAAATTTGTAGAGTTAGGATTTGTAGAGTTAGGGGTGCTGTGAAGAGGCTCTGCAGCTTACTCATGTATTTGCAAATGTGTACAAACTAAACCCCTGTTATTAATGTGAACTGTGAGACAGGACACTTTGGTTGGTTGCAGGCTGGTTGGTAAGCTGAGCTGAGAAATTTCCTTAGTTGTTGTTTTGACATACGTTATCCTTCCATGTGCTCCTTGCTGCAAAGGCCAGTTATAGATTGGGGCAGTTGCCATTTGTTTGTACTGTAATAAAACCTGACAGGTGTTCTAATCCATCTCCACTCTGTCCAAAACTGAAAAAAGTTTTGCCTTTAGTTGTACTTCATGCAAAGACTTCCCATGCAATAGTCCAGTAATCTGACTGTACATGAAGTATAACGTAATAGATTATGATCACGTGAGTGTAGTTAAAATGTAATTAAAGGCAAAACTTTGTTTTATGCAGGCCATAGACAGGTTGTTTATCGGCTGAACTTTCGTCTGCACAAAAAATCGGCCGATAATTACGCCAGTAGTGGGGCCAGCCCGTTCGGCCGTTTTTCGCGGATCTCCTCATTTATTTTTATCAGTCATGCTAGAAAATCCGCAAAAAATGGCCGTTTTTCGTGGACATGGGTGGCAGCCTCGGCAACGGGCTGACCGATTTTTCATTTATCGGCCGAAAATTTGGCCGATAAACAGCCCGTCTATGGCCTGCCTTAGTTTTCGATGAAGTGGAGAGAGATTAGAAAACACCTGTCAGTTTTTATTGCTGTCTGTGTCCCCATTAGGGAGATTAAGCCTCTCTATTTGTCCTGTTTACCCTTATTATCAAAAGTGAAAGTAGAATAAAATCCAAAATTTCAAGTTGTTACCAGAATGGGAATAGAGGGGAAATCCTTCGATAAGGACAATAGTTCTGGAGAACCTGGTGACACCCCAGAATTTCCTCGTTTTAGAGGGATTTTGTTTTGGCTATGGAACAGGAAGTGGAAGGAAATCTCCCATATGCGACAAATAGCAAAAGCAACCAAAAAACTGCTAGGGGTTATAACACTCCCTGACTCTATCCAAAATGAAAATGTTTGCCTATCTCATACACTTTAAATTTAACCATTTCTCTATGATGCTTTCCATATATACCAAAACTGAACTGGCACTGCATATCAAACCCTCAACCCTCAAGCCAAATATTTGGCTGGTATGCACTGAACCCTAGATGCACATTTCTGGTGAAAATTTGACTTTTCCAAAGCTTAAGCTCTGCAAAGGGACTAGCAGAATTCCTAATGCACAGGCACCTTTAAAAATGTTCAATGTATTTAAAATCATTGTTATATATAGTATATATATATAGTAATGTCATTGAACACTTAGGGACATATTTATAAGGCATTGAATGTGAATTTCATCAGGTATTCACTGGTGGTGAATCAATCACTGTCATTTGAAACATGGAAGAGTCATCTTCATTGAATGGTTGGTAAAAGTCAGTTTCACTACTTTTTAAATATGCCCCATACTGCCTTTACAAGTATGCCTCACACAGAAAAATGATAGCTTTTTGTCAACTCTATCTTGTTTTTCTATGTTGCTAACGTCTGTTCCAGATGATTATTTCAGAATAGCACTGATGCAGTAACAATATACCACTTTCCGGAATTCAGACGGAAGTTATTTATGTGTTTATTACTGTTTTATGCTTTTTTGCAATACAATTATACTAGGTAAATATGTCATTCTTTGTGTTAATAAACAAAGCAGCAATTTATATGGAAAATATGTAAAGCAGCTTAATGTAAGTGTTGCGAAGCTTGCAAGACGCTTCCATTTTCTTTGATGGAAAATGCTAATCTGCTCACTCACTGAATATGTTCCTTTGTGTTCCTATGGAATTTACAGTATGACGTGGAATACACTGCATTGTAGCTCCTCTCTAAAGATGCAGGATATAGATCTGGACAAGATAAATGTGCTTCCAATCACTGCCACATCTCATTTATTTATTGTGTCAGATGCTTATTAATCAGCTGTATCTGCAGGAAACACTGCATATTTAATGTTTAAAATATTTATTGTGAAAAGATGCCCACCAAGGCACTCATAGTTACATTAAAAACAGTTCAGGAGTAAAGATTTTACAAGTGTTAGTTAATTTCTTTGCTTTAAAGGATAAGTTCACCTTTTGATGAAAAAAATAAATGCACATTTTTTTGCAGGTAAAAAATGTGCATTTATTATTTTTTCTTGCACAAGCCTGTAAGACATTGCACCAGTGATCAGCAGATCATTGGTGCCATGCAGGTCTACTGCAGATCAGTCAGTATATCTGCTTGCCCTTACGGGATGTACGAGCAGGTATATTGACAGGAAGATTGAATGAACTGCCACGGCACTCCACAGGTCATTGAGAACTACAAGCTGACAGCCGCTTAGGCTGTCTCAGGAATTGTAGTTCATTCATTCACAGAACACTGTGAATTAATGACGCGGCCCTGCGTGCAGAACCCCCGCACTGCGCACTGTTTTTAAAAAGTGACAGCTAGTACGGGGAACTTCTCCCTGTACTGCTGTCACGGGGAGATTGAGCATTGAGCTCCTAAATCTCTTAAATTGTAAACCTTACCAACAAACTTTTTTATTTGCTCCTTTTTGGTCTGTTAAATATACCAAGGAAAGAATTGTGCTAAACCTATTTGTAATGCTAATAATACCTGTTGATCCTACCAGACATATAGTGATCTGACAATGTCCTATGCTCCTTGCCTCGGCTGACTACTATCAGTTAGCATTGTCCCAGTTTTCTCTATCCACTACAAAAACCCCCTTATATTATTGAACAAAAGGGGAGTCCTAATACACTTCCTGTCCTAGGGTGGAAATGCCATTCCTTCATAGATACAGGAAATGTTTAACAGTGTCAATAAACAGGTAAAAAGCAGGAAGAAAGAAAACTAATGCAAACACCATACCTAAAGTTTGGTAAGCTATAACGTTTTGATTCCTTAGATTAGATACACTTTAAGGTAAACATACATGTTACAATCACATATATTAATTTATTATTTCCTTTACCAGCAGCTATATATTGTGAGGGTCTACTTGCTTGGATATAAACTGAATGAAATGGTTAGGTAGGCCATCAAACCAAATAGATGTTGGTAAAACTGAAGGAATTTGTGCAAAGACACTGTAGCACCCCTCTAGTTAGCCACGGGGAGCTAGACTAGGTTTTTAGTCCTTCGGGTGTCTACTTTCCATAAAGGGGTCATTTGGGGGTTTTTGTACTGCGCTGGCATTTTAGTACCTGAAGAAACATGATAGGCAGTCAGAAAGTAGAAGCTGCATAAATTCCAATATATATAGCATAGTTTGTAGACACTATAACTTTCACACAAATGAATTAATATACACGTATTGGGATTTGTTTTACCAAAGACATGTAGCAGAATGCATTATGGCCTAAATTTATAAGTAAATTTGAGTTTATTAGATAATTTTTATAACAGGAAATAGAAAATATTAGGGTTTTTTTTTCAAAATTGTTGGCCTTTTTCATTTACCACCACTTGTGGTACTGAAACTTTACCTCGAGCTACACTCAGAAATACCGCCAGGGAGGTTAATCAAGATGCCCACTGACAAAAATGCCAAGGGGTGTTTTTCAAAATGATTCCTCAGCAAAATAAAGCATGTACTGTAGGCATGGCTGGATGGAGTTTGCTTTGAATATTAAAAGTGAATTAAATAGCATTTTTGGTTTGTGGTGCTCATATGTAGTGCAGTCCCACTTTAACCTCCCTGGCGGTATTCCCGAGTGTAGCTTGGGGTAAAGTTTCACTACCACAAGCGATAACCCCGAGCTACACTCGGGCTTACCATGTGACGCTTCTCCGCGATCCCTCGATCACTTATCTTGTCCTGCGCTCCTGCGATGTCCCTCCTGCAGTGTCCCCGGCAATGTAATCCGGCGGATGCCAGCATCTGTCTTCTGGGTTCTGTCCCCTGCAAGCGTCGAGACGTACGGGGACGGAACGGCAGGAAATTTGAAAATGACAAAAAGTGACATTCACTAAAATCACATAGTAAAACATTACTGTATCAAACCATTTCACATACATTTTGCCCCTAGTGCTTTGTCCTGTGCCCTGCCTGCATTTTTACTGTTATTTCTGCCTGGAAACTGAGAAACGTCCATGGCGTCCAAAAAGCGTCCCTTTAGGTCAAAAGCGGTTTTAGACCAGCTAGAGAACAGTGATAGTAAATCAGAACCACTTGCAGAATTGAGTGATAATTAGAGATGAGCGAATTATTCAAAAATTCGATTCGGCTGATTCGCCGAATTTGAGGAAGAAATTCGATTCGATGCGAATTAATTTGCTACGAATTTAACTTATTAAAAGGGTTTCTAGGCTTCAGAGAGCCTTTAAAGTAGTGCAGAACACTGTACCTTTAGGATGAGAAGAAGGAGAAGGATGAGAAGAAGGAGAAGGATGAGAAGAAGGAGAAGGAGAAGGATGAGAAGAAGGAGAAGGAGAAGGATGAGAAGATGGAGAAGGAGAAGAAGATGAGAAGAAGAAGGATGAGAAGAAGGAGAAGGAGAAGGATGAGAAGAAGGAGAAGGAGAAGGATGAGAAGAAGGAGAAGGAGAAGGATGAGAAGAAGGAGAAGGAGAAGGATGAGAAGAAGGAGAAGGATGAGAAGAAGGAGAAGGATGAGAAGAAGGATGAGAAGAAGGATGAGAAGAAGGATGAGAAGAAGGAGAAGGATGAGAAGAAGGGATGAGAGAAGGATGAGAAGAAGGAGAAGGATGAGAAGAAGGATGAGAAGAAGGAGAAGGATGAGAAGAAGAAGGATGAGAAGAAGAAGAAGGATGAGAAGGAAGGAGAGGATGAGAAGAAGGAGAAGGATGAGAAGAAGAAGAAGATGAGAAGAAGGAGAAGGATGAGAAGAAGGATGAGAAGAAGGAGAAGGATGAGAAGAAGGAGAAGGAGAAGGATGAGAAGAAGGAGAAGGAAGAAGGAGAAGGATGAGAAGAAGGAGAAGGATGGATGAGAAGAAGGAGAAGGAGAAGGATGAGAAGAAGGAGAAGGAGAAGGATGAGAAGAAGGAGAAGGATGAGAAGAAGGAGAAGGATGAGAGGGATGAGAGAAGAAGGATGAAGGAAGGAGAAGGAGAAGGATGAGAAGAAGGAGAAGGATGAGAAGAAGGAGAAGGAGAAGGATGAGAAGAAGGAGAAGGAAACAAATAGATACAAGTTTCAACCGCTGTATGGAGGGAATGTCACAGAACTGTCAGAAATAGGCTATTTCTGACAGTTCTGTGACATTCCCTCCATACAGCGGTTGAAACGTTGTATCTATTTGTTTCCATAAATGGAAACAAATAGATACAATGTTTCAACCGCTGTATGGAGGGAATGTCACAGAACTGTCAGAAATAGCGGAGCTCTGCAGATACACTTAGCGGAGCTCTGCAGATACACTTTTTGCCGGCTTGGAATTCTTCTTATTTTCATCCTACTTCTTAAGAAGTAGGATAAAAATAAGAAGAATTCCAACCGGCAAAAAGTGTATCTGCAGAGCTCCTCTATTCTGCAGATACACTTAGAGGAGCTCTGCAGATACACTTTTTGCCGGCTTGGAATTCTTCTTATTTTTATCCTACTTCTTCTTCTTCTTCTTCTTCATAAGTAGGATGAAAATAAGAAGAATTCCAAGCCGGCAAAAAGTGTATCTGCAGAGCTCCTCTAAGTGTATCTGCAGAATAGAGGAGCTCTGCAGATACACTTTTTGCCGGCTTGGAATTCTTCTTATTTTCATCCTACTTCTTCTTCTTCTTCTTCATCCTCATCCTCAGAAGAAGAAGAAGAGGATGAGGATGAGGATGAAGAGGAAGAAGAAGAAGAAGAAGTAGGATGAAAATAAGAAGAATTCCAAGCCGGCAAAAAGTGTATCTGCAGAGCTCCTCTATTCTGCAGATACACTTAGAGGAGCTCTGCAGATACACTTTTTGCCGGCTTGGAATTCTTCTTATTTTCATCCTACTTCTTCTTCTTCTTCTTCTTCTTCATCCTCATCCTCAGAAGAAGAGGATGAGGATGAGGATGAAGAGGAAGAAGAAGAAGAAGTAGGATGAAAATAAGAAGAATTCCAAGCCGGCAAAAAGTGTATCTGCAGAGCTCCTCTATTCTGCAGATACACTCTTCTTCTTCATCCTCACCCTCAGAAGAAGAAGAAGAGGATGAGGATGAGGATGAAGAGGAAGAAGAAGAAGAAGAAGAAGTAGGATGAAAATAAGAAGAATTCCAAGCCGGCAAAAAGTGTATCTGCAGAGCTCCTCTATTCTGCAGATACACTTAGAGGAGCTCTGCAGATACACTTTTTGCCGGCTTGGAATTCTTCTTATTTTCATCCTACTTCTTCTTCTTCTTCTTCTTCATCCTCATCCTCATCCTCTTCTTCTTCTTCTGAGGATGAGGATGAAGAAGAAGAAGAAGTAGGATGAAAATAAGAATAATTCCAAACCGGCAAAAAAGTGTATCTGCAGAGTTCCTCTATTTCTGACAGTTCTCTGACTTTCACATTTACAGCGGTTGAAACATTGTATCTGTTTCCGAATAAAAACATCTGTATCCTAAATGGAAACAAATAGATACAATGTTTCAACCGCTGTACATGTGAAGGAACTGTCAGAGAACTGTCAGAAATAGCGGAGCTCTCTGCAGGGACACTTTTGCCGGCTGATCGGGAAAAATCCGATTCGCGCACCCGAAGTAGGCTAATATTCGGATTCGACGCGAATCGAATTTTTCCTGAAATTCGAATCGAATTCCACTTCGCCTGGTTCGATTCGCTCATCTCTAGTGATAATGATTCGTGGGGAAATTCGTCATCAGACACTGAAAACGATTTTGCAACTTTGCTCAGTGATGTGCAAACTTGGCGCTATATTTGAAATTTCAGTGTTTTTGGTTTGATTATAATATTGAATTAAATTTATTATTATTATATTATTATTTTTTATGATTATTTATTAAATTATAATTTATAATTTCGTGTTTAAATTTTAACATACCCGGGATGTTTACTAGACTCTTGTTCGGACAGATTTGAGTGAGTTATTTCTAAATATTACAGGCCTACAATAAAAAAAATACATATTTCCATGCAAAAAAAATGCACCACTTTGAGCACAGAAATATGGACATAATCAGACCGCTAGAGAGGTTGATGTGAGTTATTAGGCAGTATTTGAATGAAAAGACAATTGCCATAAGCTCCCATAAGCAGAATTACAGTCATGACTGAAACCACTGTACACCACCCCCTATTTGCTCCCTAAGGGTTATGGTTGTCCTTTAATATCACAATGTAGTAACAGTGGTTTAATTGCTTATTGACTTTTTTCAAATATATTTTACAACACAGCAATTATTAATAATAATTAATGGATTTCTCTAAATAACATAGGAGATTTCATTGTCAGTTATGAATTTTACCAGAACAGCATTGGTATTCAAGCAAAGGCTAACGGAAAAAAAAAGATGGCTAAGCAGCACTAGTAAACACTATTGACATGCTATATAATCTCAATAGACACATGGGTTACTTTCATTAAAGAAAGGCTGTCTTATCTGTTAAAAAAAGGCCTGACATAAGCATGAAGCTGGGATCAAGGACAGTTGATTGGAAATACCGTAAAATCACAAATATTCACTACTACACTAAGAGGTGACAGATGATATAATCAATACTTATAAATAGATGAACTACCATGAAGGACTATTTCTACATTTATTTTTCATCAAATTCAATCCTGCTTGGTATGGAGTAAGATATATAGACCATACTTCCCTGATGATTTAGGGCCCCATGTGAAAACATATTGACTTTCACCGTATAGTGGCTGCACTTTAAGTAATGGCTCAGTGAAAATGTCATATCACTTTCTTACCATGAAACTATGTTTTGCTATAGGAAACCTAATCTTATGTGCAATAAGGATCTCATTATGATGGAATAAAAAGATAAGACTGCGATAAGATATGCGATTTGTCACTTGTTTGTTTTAAAGAAACCAAGCATTGGGAGAGATGTACTTAAACTGGAGAGTGCAAAATCTGGTGCATCTCTGCATAGAAACCAATCAGCTTCCAGGTTTTATTGTCAAAGCTTAATTGAATAAGCTGAAGTTAGAAGTTGATTGGCTACCATGCACAGCATCACCGTGGGTATTTGTTTTCTACCCATAACATAAGCTAGCCAAACATTACACAGTACACAATTGGAAATGTAGCACCCCTCTAGTTAGCCAGGGGGTTCTAGACTAGGTTTTTAAGTAGAGGCTGAATAGCAACCTGGGCATGAGTTAGCCTGGGTGTGAGTCAGCCAGCTCACCAGGGGTCAGGACCACCCTTAGATATAACTGGACCTGATCAGCAGGAAGTAGGGAGAGTGTGTTTCGGGTGGATGATGAAGTGGGAGGCTGGAGTGTGGAGTCTGGGAGGGGGCCTGGGGAGAGGTCTACCTACAGGCAGGTGCTGGAAGAGGGGACCTCCACTGTGCCACCATCTACTAGGAGGGAGAGCCTAAGCATCAGGGAAGAAACCAGCCCAACAGAAGGCCTGAAGGCAGCCACCAACTCATAAAGCTATCAAGAAGGACATTGTGAGTAACCTTACATCCCCTGGGTCAGATAAGGGGAAAGGGCAGTCAGGTGGAGAACCCAACTAGCTCCTCAGCCAGGACTGTTTGATATTGGGCAGCTTCTGGATCCCCTTGCCCAGGGAATACCCTTAGTACTTCCGGGGGAAGAGGAGGATTTATCTGGGGTCTAAGGAGGTACACTGGAGTGCAGAAGTGCTCTCAAAGAAGAGACAGATTTTTGCTTCCTGTCTATAGACTTGTACATAGTCTGTCCTCACAGTTCACAGTTCCTTGGGCATCCCATGTGTCCCTCAACCCCATCCAAGTTAATTACCCACAAAAACAAGCCTAAGGACTGGTTACTATCTCTGTGTGCAAGTGTGGAAGAAGAATATGCGTGTTGCTTGGCTGTGCAGGACCCTAGGGGGACCCAAAAACTTAGCAACTCCTAAGAGGTTAGTGCTACACTAGTAATGGGATGATCAGCGACCTATAGTGTGAGTGCAATCTAACGCTAGCTGATCATGGCTGGGATGGGCCATGATCAAAGCATGGATTTTATTTTATGACGCCAGTGGCAGAAATACAGTGATCAGTGAAAAATTTTGACACTGTACTAATGGCACTAGCTGGGTGA